TCAAGTTTATGCTAAGATTGTCTTTGTTCTCTCTAGTCCTTGTTAGCACCCTAGTCGTTATCCTGCCCTGCCGTCTCTAGTGTCTTCTTCCTCTTCGGACCTCTCCTCTGGACCCCCCTGGATTTAATCTACACCACCAGCCACCGCCTCCCAGGTCGATGCACAGTCTCCCTTACCCAGTTTATCCCTGCTCTTCTGTCTACAGCCATCATCACCTCCACCTCGATCAGCCCAGGAGTGACCTCTGCATCCGCAGCCCAGTACATCATCATCCACCATACCACTGACTGTTTTTCTGCTGCTGCTGATCGACACCCGGTCATCTACCTCACTACTCCTCCTGTATATATGTCACTACCTTCACTGTAAATAAACCTCACTGCTTGCACCGAAGCCAGCCACCTGGGTCCGCTTTTTATCTGCTCGCTCACTCTGTGTTCGAGCGCACCCTAACATTAGCTTTATTTTGAAAAGTTTGCCCCTTTCAAATGAATGGGAAAATTCTACTTAAGCATACTTTCAGGTATTTCAGGTATGAAAATGTCTCAGGACATTCATGCTTCGACTCAAAATTTTTACACACTTCACACTTCTGAAATATTTTGCTTTATTTTGAAAATTTTCCCCGATTCAAATTAATGGGAAAATTGTACTTCAGCATACTTTCAGGTAGATATGCCTTTCAGGTGTCAAAATGTTCAGCATTTTCAGGGCGATCCTTCAGCACACAGCATCCACACGCATTTTCGACAGGAAATGCATTTCTGTAGGTTTTCATTATTATTATTCTGGGATCTTCCACCCTTTTTTTGCACTTTATAAGTCCAGCATACTTTTAGCTATACAGGTCATTGAGGTCTTTATCTGTTCAACACATCAGGGACATCCCTGCTTGTAGTCAAATTTTTTATAACGTATAGTTTTTAATTGATTCAGCTTTATTTGCAATACAAGTCAATGGGAGCTCAAAGTGGTGAGTCAATGACAGTCTTGGAGTGCCATCTGGTGATTCATAAAATGCAGCACAATTGGGACATGCCCATACATAACTCCTCTCTCTCCCTCTCTCTGTCTCTCTACCCTTCCCCCCTGTCTCTGACACACACAATCACACCTACTTATTTTACCTACTTTGTGTGGTCCAATTTGACTATCTTCACATCTTAATAAGTTCAGCATACCTTCAGCTAGCAAAGCCATTCAGGTATCAAAATGTTCAGCTCTTCAAGGCCATTCCTACTTTATTGCATCTCATCCATCAGATTATTCAACAACTAACTTCAGCCATTTCTTCTCAACTATTTCAACAAAGAACTTCAGCCACTTCTCATCTTTCAGCTGTTTCAGCAATTGATTTCAGGCATTTTCAGGACGATCTTTCAGCTTATTAGCATTTACATGCATTTACGACAGGAAATGCATTTCTCTAGTTTATTATTATTATTCTGGGAGCTCGAACTGCTGATTCAATGACACGGTCTTGGAGTGCCATCTGGTGGTTCATAAAATGCAGCGCAATTGAGACATGCCACTACATAACTCCTCTCTCTGTGCTCC